GGTTGCTGTAGCAGAAGGTACGGAATTTGGGTTTGGGCAGCTTCAATGCTTACACACATTCCGGAATTAGAAGCGTTGCGCGTCAGATACCCTGCCTGTTAAGAGGGAGCTAGATGAGCCATAGTCTAAACTCCTAGCATCCCCTTGCATATACCCTATACCCTACTTTAATCCCCTATATTACCCCCTTTCAGGAGTTTAGACTATAGCTCATTGGGGCATTAGCCCGCAGATTCTTTTCTGAAGAGCCAGGACCCTCCTAGTAACCTTGAAATAGGGCTATATGGTCCCTATTTAGGGTGTATAGAGCGTAGATGGAGGGTCCAGGGAGGCGTTTGGGCCATTTTGGATCTTGCTGAGGTTGGCAGTACATGCCAATGATGTTTGATGCGAGCACTTTTGGCCTGAGGTTGAGCTGGATGTAGAGGCATCCTTGGGGTTCGGAATTCGGTTCTGCGGTCCATGTGTTGGTCCAGCAGGTGCCCGCAGGCTTTCGTGAACATATAGTCCCCCTGAAGTAGATAGAATATGGCTTTGGGTATATTCTAATAACATCCCCATATACTCCAAATTCTATGTACTTAAGGGGGACTCTCGCAGGATGAAACACCTGGCTCTGCTCATCATCCCTGCCTGGCCTTTGACTCAAGTTTCTCAAGCCCTAAGCCCTGAGTCAACAAATTAAAGCAACTTTTGGCACTTAACTTAAGAAACAACACCTACTTTCCAGGACCCTCCTTGGACCCTGGGAAAGGGGGTACATGGTCCCTTTTTGGGTCTAGAGGACAAATGCAGGGTCTAGGCTGTGATCTGTGGAGTCCTAGAGTTTAACCACTGACGGCAAGATGCCAGATGCTCCGCAGTGCTTTCGAGACGTTTCGCTCAGTTGAACCTTTGCAACGTTACATGGGCCGAAGTCCTGACAAAGCGGCGTCTCCGAAAGTTGTATACTCATCTTTTCAGATGTACATTGCTTTGCTGGTCTGCCCTGCCCACCAGTCTCCCACATCAGGGGGTGATTCTAGGGCCAACACCTGAACATCACAGAAACGGTCGTGAATAGAGCTCCTTACAGTGCCGAAAAAAAGCCCAGTTCTTCGGTGAATAGATCAGTATTTCACAACGTCCAGAGTTATCTATGTACACATGAACTCAAACCGAAAGGTCCCTGGTAAATGAAACCAGATGAAAGGGGGGCGAGGCATCCTGAATTCTGAAGTCCTTATCGGCTATATAATCTAGAGATTACATAGTGGTAGCTCTGGCAATATGGCAAGGCGTCCAGCCTCAGGGCATTTGGAACCTTTCTTCCTCTCCGAAGTTTGAAGGTGGGGCAGCGATGTTTTTTCTTGTAGCCACCCCCCCCCAAAAAAAGAACACCAACGACCCAAAGAGCACCAACCACCCACAAGCCCCCTGCGCCAGTGCCCTGGAATGCTTCATGCCGCATGCCCATCATCGTCATACTCGTGATGAAGGTACGCCTAGTCATTGCTTGTGTTCTTTCTTGCCCTGTAAGATCCCCTCTGCAAGCGCTTAATCCAGCTCCAGGGATTTTTGGACAGCTCTGCCATGTTGAGACGGTGTTACAGCACCCCGCGCAGTACAGACTGCAGAGCGGTCCAGCGCCTCTTTACTTTCAGGCGCACGAGCGCTGGTCAAATGAGACTTGTAATAATCCAGGCCAACAGCTGCGCTAGCGTTTACAATTTTCCGGTTTGTACGGTACATCGTGGAGCCTGGTACAGCTTGATGAGCTGCCGTGGACTTCGCTCGGATAAGCCGAGCCTCTTTCATCCTTACCAGAAGGGAGAAGATATCAGGACTTGAGCATAGGGAGCATTAGGACTTGGATTACAACACGCGCATTACTAACAGGACATGAGTATAAGTTTAAGGTTTGGGGTGTGGGTCTGCAAAGGTCTGTGTCAAAAGTGAGTTTTCTAATCGGCCCTCACAACTACATGCGGCAAATTACAGTGGGCTCCTGGCAGCGTTCTCCATGGGGCAGCCTAACTCCCCCCTACACTTCCTTGAGATGATTTCTGAGACTTCCTGACAAGACTGAGCCTGTTTTTCGCTGGTAATGTTGCACCGGGTTTAGTGAAGAGACCTTGAATAATGTGTCTTGGCTGCCGCTTATCCAATCTCAGGCCATTGTCGGGAAGACCTAGAATAATGTGTTTTGATTTCGGGGCCTTAAAAATACGGGACCGAATCCAGACAATCCCTTTTCAAAGTAATCCCAGAGGCCTCTCGGCCCTCAGTACCGTGGGAGCCTTCTTGAGGACGTTTAATTTCTAATTTTCTGGACCCCCAATTCTTGTCGGGGGGGCAGTTAAACACAGTGCAACATTAAGGGCCGTCTAACGTTGAAGCTGTTGCAGGGCTTCCTCTCTGGGTCCTGGGGATGGGGAAAGCTTCTCCGTCTCCCGGGATTGCAATATGGGAAGGCGAGGTGGCTGTTCCACAGCCCAAGGCGTCACTGCGGCTACTAGTCCATTAGTCCATTATCTCTTTTGTTTGCTGCGTGCACGTGTATGCACACCTGCCACGGCTCTTGCCAATTCCCTTGCTGCTCTTACTTCTACTTGTTGCCCCTTCCTGAGAAAGAGCAGTAAGTACTAGTCTTGTTTATGACTGTTTTCATTGTCGTTGTATTCGCAGTGGTCGTAGTAGAGGAAGATATAAGCAAAAAAGCAAGCCTTCAACCCCAATCCTAAACCACCCTAGCCCAAAAGAGCACTCAAGCTGACAAAGCCCAAAATGCTAACTCCAAACTTCAAACACAAGCCCAAAAGCCTCAAGGCGGAACTGGACATCCGTTTTGAAAGCACTACTACTGCTAAGAACACTGATGCTACTGCTCGTACTGGTGCTAGAGCTTGTTGAGCTTGTACCCCCGCCGCCGCCGCCGCCGCCACTAGTAATATGGTCCCTCTTAGGTAGATAAACTATGGGGTATATGGGGATCTTTTTATAGTATACCCAAAGCCATATTCTATCTACTTAAGGGGGACTATATACTCATAACTGCAGCTCACAACATGCTGAACCCGTCCAATCAGAGCAGTGTCTGCTTGATGAGCTTGCTAACCTGCCACACGGGCTTGATGTTAAGGAACTGAAATTGAGCTACCATGAAGCAAACAACTTGTAAACATCAGGGCCTCCTTTTTGGTTGTAACTTAGTTTGACTTCCCTAACAGCAAGCCAGGAGTCAGGGCTTCAGAGCTTAAGAATCAAGAGTGTCGAGGGTGTTTGTCTTTGAGCGCTTGGGTCACAACTTCACTGTTTTCAGGCATAGGATCTGAAGGATGACTTCAGGTGAAGCCCTCAAAGTCTCTGGTGCAGATTGTAGCGGGATGTAAATCCTTAAGTCCTGAAACATAGACCCCTAGGACTAAACGTTGAACATGATCCTCATGCCTCGCAAATAACAAACGCCCCGATATCAAGCGTTTGGTTTTGCTTCACAAGGCAAACATTTCGTGGCATTGGGGGGTGGGGAGTCGAAATTACGGTGGTGTCAAGGATGACGTGCCACATGAACGTACATCCAAGTAAGCTCCCCAACAGCATCCAGACGATCCCCCTCACCGCACGAGCTGAAGACGACTCGAAGATGTTGGGCTATAGTCGCCCTTAAGTGGATAGACTATGGGGTATATGGGAATCTTATTAATTATAGGATACCCGAAGCCGTATTCTATCTACTTAAGGGGGACTATAGGTTCTGCTTGGGAACCTACTCCCTTGTGCAAACCAGCCTGCTCCTTATTCTTGCTGCCTGTACGTAAGGAATCAAGGAGTGGACCCCCCATGGTGACCCATGGATAGCTCCTAATAGTGTGATGGTTTTCATTTTCTTTTCCATTCAATGAACCCTAAACTCTGACAGAGTCTCCAATTGATTGCTCCCATTGGGTTCTCTACGTACACCTAGCAAATGATCATAATCCTTTCTGGTTCGTCCCTAATTACACCCCCGCCCCCAATTGCCCGTTCCATTTTCCATAAGCTTTTAAATTTGATGCTCTATACCCTAGACCTTTTGGATCCAGGCCTAAGCCTGAAACCCGGACCCCAAAACACTGAACAGCAGTTTCGCCTTCATTTCCACTATTTGCCATTCCCTACTAGCAGGTTACTACCAAGCAACCTGCCCTGGGCTGTGTTTGCTGGCCGGATGTTTAGGGGTTCAGGTTCGGGGTTGCCTGAGGTGAAGGATCAGGGCTTAACTCTCGGGTGTTCAAGGGATAATGGGAGTGAACGCCACTACTGCAAGAGGGGTATCGTAGAGGAATACGCTTATAGCTTATAGTGGTCTACTCTCCCACAATCCCTTCAGCAGCAATGAATGACGGGGTTTAGGGATTATATTGGGGTTAAATGGGGATATAAAGGGATAACGGGAAAGATACGGGAAGCTACTATGTGGTATGTTGGGATTATATAAGGATAATGGAAACTGTTTTGTGGCCTAACTTCCATGAGGAGCCGGATCAGGGCCGAGCTTACACTCTAGCCACGGGCTCTCATGTAGCTCCTTTTGGGTTTGCTATTGGCTTCTGGGTAAAGGGATGCAGCGCATGTAGCGCCCTTACAAGAACTATACTTGTTCCGTAGGGTAATCACCGAAGCCCAATGAACTGGTTGCGCTATTGGGGCCTTCGAGCATGGCTCAAACTAGAACATTGTGAGGCAAGTCCGCTGGTTTACGTCGTCTGATGAGAACAACCCCTTGGCCAAGCGCTAAACCTTCCCTTCTCCGCAAAGTCCCTTGCTAGACGCAAAGTCGACTTCTAGCGAAGTGAAGCAACAGCAAATGAATATACGACAACTATATACTCAGGAAGGCAGGAGCAAGAGTTGACAGTGCTTGTACATCTGGACAAAAGCACCAAGTGCACTCCAAGTCCTGCATAGCGGAGCCCCTAGCACGGAAAGCCTTCAGAACTCTAATGTAGCTCCTGAAAAACATCATTCCAGCGGGGGGCCTTGTTGTCAAGCTGCTTCACGTCCGAGTGCAGTGCCACAGTGTCGATAGCACGTGCGGGGCCTTTGCATCGCATGATGCCATCCTTGGCAACAGGAGCGTTTAGGAAACTTGGGGGAAATTTTGGGAAGGATTAATATGTTGTGGAGTCGCAATTGTGACCCCCTACTTATGGAAGCTACCGCAGCTTCATGGGAAAAGCTTAGGGTGGCAGGGATAATTACTAGATGACAAAACACTCGCGTAAAAAAGTGGGGTCCCAACTGTGTCCAAAGGGGTGTAACGCCCCATCAGGTCCAAGGGACTTTAAAATATGCTGACCCGAAATCCTAAACCGAAAAACATACAGTGGAGCCCCCTTGCAACGTTCTCAAAGCATGTTTCACGGCTTGCAAGCCCTGCAAAACGACGACACGAACAGAACTCACATACTTTGAAGGGTCAATACTCCCATACAGCACGGAGAGTTATCACTACATGCCGCAGGGAACACACACAGATCCCCTGATTTCTCTAGTAGCCCGAACGCAACGGGCACAATCACTCGTATTACGCCCAGAAGCCTAAACCCTAAGACCAAAATTCACTTGAGCCGCAATGAACTCTTCCAAGGTTACCTCGCCGTCGCCGTTATCCTTGGTCTACTTAGAGGCCTCGTATGCAATTCCTTCTTGGATGTGTTATGGGCTGTTGGTAAGGGATTACCGTACACCACCAAAGCAAGGAACTGCATATGAGCCCTATGGCGGGGACAGGTTGCTTGGTCTTGGGTTTAGTGGTTGTCTTTCTTTTAGTATGTTGTGTTTTGGATGGAAAGATTCCATATTTGTACACAGGCAGATCAACACGCACCGGCTGAACATGTATGAGGAGCTCGAGAATTCGCGTTCTCTTTGCTTCAAAAGCAAGTGGAAAAACAGGGGTCAACAATTACCATTACTACTATTATTACTGACACAAGTACAACTTCTAATACCATTAGCTTTAGAAGTACTATTCCTATGGCTACTGCTAGTATTATTGCTGTTGCTGTTTGCTATTTCGATTCTTACTTCAAGGTTGCGGGGTTGCATCTGCATCCCTATGCTAGCATCTGGGAGATGCAAAAGATTTGAAAAGCACGTTTCCGGTTCGTACATGTCCCTATTTAAGTGTATGGAGAAGGTAGATGGAGGGTCCAGGTAGATAATACCTACTCTGGGTTCCAAAGTCTACAAGGAGTATCTACATGGGCGTGTTTGAGCTACAGTCTGAACTCCTTACAGGGGGGTTCTATAGGGGATCATATAGGCCGGTTTCAAAGAATTAAAGAGGGATTCACGGAGTTTAGACTATGGATCATTTAGATCCCGCAGCCCTAAACCGTATGGCAGGCCCTAGAAATGGGATATGAACCCTCAACCCCACCTAAACCCTGAAATGTAGTACCTTTTTGGTAGTCCTAATAAGAGTCCTAACCAAAAAGCCATACCAAACCCAAAAAAGAACTACATTGGAGGGTCTAGGCTAAACCCTAAACCTTTAAACCCTTGACTTAAACCCTAAAGCCTTAAACCCTAAACCGCATGACCGAGGCTCGAGAAGGTGGAACAGTGCTGTGCCTTCTTGAACCTGGGTTGAGGGTTGACGGTAGTCCCCCTTTGACCTATAGGATTTAGGGTTTAGGGTTTAGAGTTTAGGGTTCAGGGCAAAAATCATCTTGTATAATAGCTCGTTGGGTTGTACTAAGAAAGGAAATAAACTTCTTCACGGGGTAGGAAATGAGCTTTCACTGATTCACAGACATGGCATGATGCCTGTCATGACTCCAGGGCACTGGTGGTCAGAACAAACGATCTAAATAGTAGTTTCCATTTTATTTTCCATTACCCCAATATAACACCGATACATACCCTATTAGTTATACTATGCTGGTTTCCATTTTTTTCCATTAACCACAAAAACAAGTCAATGATGATGCCTACTCCAAATGTACTCTCTACTTCTGCACCAGCAAAGCCTGAAAATTGCCTGCCTAGACGGCGGCCCACCCTTATCACCTCATCCTTTGCTTATAGTCCCCCTTACGTAGATCGAATAAGGCCTTGGGTATCCTATAATAAGATCCCCATATACTCCATAGTCTATCTACTTAAGGGGGACTACAATCCTTGCTTGCTTGAAGAATGCCTTTCTGTAGGCAAAGCCTTGATCAACGCGTTTCCAGGCTTGACTAATCCTACCCCCTACCTCTGCGTGGACCTGCAAGCCACTTGAGAAGAAAATTGCGGGCTAGGGGGCTTCTGAAACGCTATTGCGAAATAAAGGCCACGTTTGTTACGACAACGCGATAGTGCCCTGTAATCTTAGGGTGCTATTGCAAATCAGGCCTTTTGCTGTTGATAAGGCAGGCCTTCTACAGGACGAATTTTCGATTGATGCATTGTAATGGAATATCACAATTAGTGCCATTCTGAAAAGCTGTCATGACATGAGATCCTGCAAGATTCCTTTATGAATTATAGTCCCCCTTTAAGTAGATAGAATGTGGGATACATGGGGTGGGGCTTGCGAGGGATCATTACGCAACGAAGCCTCAGAATGGAGTGTACAATTGCTACGTGCTGGCCTCCCTGAACGGTTCCTCATGGAGATATTACGAGAAGTTGTACGTCTACCTTCCATGGTAGAATTTAGCACACAAAACATCATAGATCATTTTTCCAACAGTGACTTAGAGCAGGGGTAAAGTCATATACTAAGTAGCAGGGCTTGACGAGGGACTATTGCGAAATAAGGACTCATGAGGTGCGGTTATAGGAACGGTAACCAGCTAACGCGTAAAAGGAATTATGTCAAATTGAGGTTTTGATGTCCGGGTCTGCGAAGGACTGTTGCGCTTCTTTTCAGAAAGAATGTGCTTAATTCTGGAAGATGGGTTCTATCCAAAAGCTCCTATGTAGTGCCTTTTGGGGTAGGATATGCTCATCCACTACCTAAAACCAAAACGAACCCCAAAGGGGACTCCATCGGTGTCCGTCGTTGGTTCAGGCCATGGTTTTTGCCCCAAGGCCATGCCGCGCCTGATCCAAGCCACGGTTATTTGGCGTAACTGATGGTACGCCACAATCTGTAGCTCAAGCTTCTCGGTAAACAGCATCATGATCAAACAACTCTGAATTTGGCGAAACGAACCAATTGCTGCATGACTGCTGCTACAACTAACAGGGCTTGAGGCAACTAATCCTAGCCCCCTGCACTACGAAGTGATTGCGGGTTTAGGGTTTAAGCCCTTAACCCGAACCCCTACAGCCTACCTGGAGCACCAAGCAACATCAACCTCCAGTGTCTGGAAGTAAGCCTTGACTTTGGGATTCGCCAGCATATGGTTCAGCACCTGGACGTTAGCTTGTTTGCTTTATGCAGGCAATGTCGATTGTCATATTACTATTCATATTTGTAGTTCCAAGCGTCATGAGTATTTCTATTGTTGTTGATATGCTTGCTAAGATTGGTGCTATGTATTTCTGCTTTGTTAGTAGCAGTTGAATTTAATATCACAGTTGTTATTGCTGTGGTTGATGTTGCTGCTATCACTGCTGATACTCCCCTAGGGTACTATGCAAGCGTTAAGGATAGATTTGGGCTTGTGGAGTTTCAGAATACGTTACGGACCTGTTGGATGCAGACATAGTTCAGGCCTACGGTCGCGGGATCCATCTTGGAGATTGCGAAGTGTGGAAGCCTAAATGATTGCAAATGTTAGGCGGACACAATCCTCGTAGAACAATAGAAGAGACCCAAGAGCATATTGTAGCTATTCAGGCTCCCTCGTACGCTGGGGTTCATTTTGAAAAGACTCCAGCCTGTTCTGAAAGCGTTCCGCGGCCGTTCACCTCAGCTGTTCAAATGCAAGATCAGATTCAAAAGAGTCTGAGACGGTCTTTTCCAGGATGTTTACTATAGAATCCCGAAGAAGTTTAGGGTTTAGGGTTTAGGGTTTAGGGAAGGACCCACCACAAGGCACCGCCAATTTTGAGAAACAATGAACTAAACTTGTTGGGCTTGTTGTAGGTTTTTGGTACAGGACCACAGTGTACAGCCCAAAGAAGAACTACACATATGCGCTGTAGTCTAGACTCCTAGTATCCCCCTTAACAAGCCCCATAATAGGAATCCTGTGTAACCCTTTTAAGGAGTTTAGACTATGGCTCATATGAGGAGCAGGAAGGAGGTATGGAATGCTTGGGATGTGATAGTGTCCGAAACCAGGCTCCAGATCCTGCTGAAGCACATGCATGGGCAGTTACTAGGGTTTAGGGTTATACAGGGATAATGGAAAAGAAAATCGAAACTACTATATTGTAACAGGGTGATATGGGTTTACAAATTGCTGTTCCCAGAATTGCGAATAAACAACTCCTTGAGCAAGTAGCCCATATATGGCGTCTATTTTTGGTGGCTGTGTAGCCTGGAACCTGGATCTAAACGGGCAGCCACCGCTTGCAAAGCGTGGGCATGGAATGTACTTCCTACCGCTTGACGTCGTTGATGCACGACGGATGCACAATCAGTTGACTGTGCACTGATGTTCCCTTAAAGTAGGTTGCAGGATCAGCAAGAACTAAGCAGTAGCCAAAGCCCTAAACGCGCATCTCTGTCAAGAGCTACCCGCATAGAACAAGATCAGAACGGGGGGTTGCGCAGTCTATAGGTTGGATCTAGGGTAAGCGCATTTTTCTCCTAAACCACTCATCAGCTTGCAGCAAAACACTCAAAGTCTGCAACGCAACGAAATTCCGACCCCGAAGCCTGCTAAAGAGCCATCAGGTCGCGTCGAGAGTTCTGAAAACACCCTCCAGACGTTCGATGTACTCCGCCTTCTTTTTCAGCCGGTCCAAAACCAGATGCTGGGCGTCGTTGTGCGCTTCATCCAGTGTATCTTTGAGGAAAATTGCCTTGGCCAGAAATCTCAAAGGGACTGTGCCTGCGTCAGGATTGTGTAGGCCAGACTACTTGAAGCTATTAAGCATGTTGATGCCTTCAGTGTAACAGTTAGCTGTGCAATTGAAAGGACGAGGCCGCCGTAGCTGCTGGTCCTTAGACTCGGCCCTACGACAAGGGCAAACCCTCAAACATCAGGAGATGCCCAGGCGATGAGCCACCAGTCGAGTGCGCTTTCGATATTTATACTGTCCAGTTGCATCAAAACTTAAACAAAAGCTAGCACATGCAAATTATGGCCAGCTTGTCAGAGGACAGGCATGCACTCTACATCATGACCCCCCAAAACCAAGTAAGACATTCATCTATTCTGAGATCAGTCCTCACCCAACAAAAACATGTCTTTGGCTGTTTGCTAGGGTTTGAAACAAGCCTAAACCCAGAACCCTGAGCCCTGAACCCTACACCATAAACCCTAAACCCTGAACCCTAAGTTTGGGACAGGTTTAGAGCCTACAGTCTGGAAACATAATCCTCTCTCTATACCTGGGTTTCCTGAAGAAAGTGCCTCGGTAAGGGCTTAGGATACACGGATGTATTGGACTTTCAGGGGCTTTCTGCAGAGTACTGTGGAAGGTCCCGTTGTTTTGTTTCAACGGTTTGTTTGCAAAAACAATCCAATTAAGTCCAGGTGCAGAAATCACTCTTATAACGGCAAATACCTTGGCTGCTCTCCGAGATTCAGAAAAATCAGGTGAAGTTTTTCTTCCAATTTTAAAGGTATGGGGACTATATGAGCTATAGTCTAAACTCCTTAAAGGGGGATTATAGGGTTTAGGGTTTAGAGTTTAGGATTTAGGGTTTAGGGTTTAGGGTTCAGCCCAGGCGCAATGATAGTGATATAGAGAAGGTAGAAGACCACGAAAGCCTGACTAACTCGCTCCAGCACAGGGCGTGCGTTCGTGGGCCAATTCCTCCACACAGGGCGATGAGCTTCAGAGCATGGAACTCATAACATGGAATTCACTAAGGTTCTCATCTAACCCCAACCCCATACTATCAGATGACTTTACTGAACCGGCTCTCGCTTGCGGAGGTTGGAATTGACGAAATCAACTAAGTGCTATCGGGCAGGAATGTTGCGTCCAGTTGAGGCGACAGCAGATAAGCGCGCCAAGATGAAAGTCTCTCGTGTTACTACTCCGCAAGAACAGCCTACCCAAGCTCCCATGTAGCTCCTTTTAAGGTTGTATGCTATAATCCCCTACCAAAAACCATAACAAATCCAGGAAGGAGCTAATTACATAGGAGCCCGGGACATCTAAATTCCGAACACAAAGCCCATCGCAGTCGCATCCCATCGTCGTTCCTAGTCTTTTCTTCTGCTGAACTCCATCCATGACCCCTTGACTGCACTCCACCACAACCTCAGGGCAGGGAAATCGAAAGCTTACAATTCAGATTTAGAGGGGCTGCCTGGGCTAGGACCTATCATCCTACATGCTCAGAGCTCGTAGCAACTGGAAAACACTGAAAGTCCTGATTGCATCTGTTCTTTACCTCACCATGCTGAGATCCCTGAACCCTGTTTGAATTTGGGCTCAAAGCCTAAAACCTAGACTCTATGCAAGGGCTTGCATGTGGCCCCTTTGTTTGTGTATCGTCTGTTGGTGGGATTACAGTATCTCAGCCAAAAATGAAAAACATGAGACCTTGAACAAATCTGCCCAGGCTGGTGTTTTAAGGCCAAGGGTCCCGGCAAAAGTCACTTCGTACCTGCCCGAAAGTTTGGCACGGCGATGTTTCAAGCAGGTGTAAGCAAGACAGGGTAGCGGCGTACTTCGAGGTTCCAAACAATTCCAGCTGCAATGAAACAGACATAACTCCCTACGCTCTAAACCTTAGAGGGCGCACATGACTATACTTGGTTTTGTGCTTGGAAGTGCTCTGCAGCTGCACCCCCTGACGGTCATGCAGGTTATGGCACAGGTAGGAGCCCAAAATGAACCCCTAACACCATGAAACCGAAGTGCTGAACACCTAAGTCTAAGAACAACATTCACAAGTGGGGAAGTTGCACATGTTCGAGCTGCCTGAAATAGTAAGTTTCACGGATTCTTTC